ACATTTCAATTCTAAAGATCCATTTGATATTGAAGAGAGAGACATCATCTCAAATTACGTTCAACAACATAAAAATAAGCTAACCCGAAAATACGAAGAAATTAATCAAGACTTGAATAACAAAAAGGAACAACAGTTAGAACAAATAAATGCAACACGACAACAACCTATGACCTTATCAAAAGACGATATAGTTTATCATAAAGAACTACCTAGAGATAAACTAGCATCCAGGTTTTCAAAAATAGAGCCAGTCGCACAAACAAAAAATAAAGTAAAGACAGAAACGTCTAAATACTCTAAACATAATCTCAAGAAACGCAAAAAATACTAATAATTATTTATTGTTTTTTTTTTAGATGAGAATGTTCATGCTCTCATTTATCCTTATCTATTACTCAACCGAAGCTTCTATTCAAAAACTAACTAACCCTATCTTACCTATGAATTTAATGGCTACTAGAATTATATCGAGTAAACATACTTTCGTAAGCTATATCAATATCACTGACCTTGCGATTATGAAATTCGTTGCACAAGAACAATTAGACTTTATAGTAGATAAGAAGAATCTTAGTAGTCAATCTGACAAGCTCATTCACCAAGCTTACATACTCTTATCTGATATAGATAATTTACTGCAAGCTGTCAATCCTCGAATTAGAGACAAACGTGGATTAATTAATTTTGGTGGTAAAATATCAAAATGGTTATTTGGTACTCTTGACGCTGATGACGGCAAAAGAATCGATATAATATTGAACCATCTTAGCAAAAATGATCATCTTCTACAGGAAAGAATCAATGATCAAATTTCCTTAGCGAAGGAATTTATGACGAAAACAAACCAAAGTCTCTTTGAAATAAAAGCCAATATCTTGAAAACATCTTATTTGATTGAAAATTTCTCAGAAAGGATTAATGAAATAAATGCCTTAACACTGATCATCAATTCACTCGTGATTTTACAAAGCCAACTGAGTCAAATGGTGAATGCAATTACTTTTGCACATTTGAATAAAATACATCCTACTTTTCTTTCATTAGAAAATCTGAATTCAATTTTGCGAAAAGTTGATACATTGTATTCTCCAAATCAAGTTCTTCATTTTAAAAATCAGCACAGTTATTATTCCGTCTTTGGAATTCAACTTGTGTATGAAAAAGAGAGATTAATTTTCTTAATTCACGTTCCAATTCTTATGACTATGCCATTCAAAACATATTTCCTGTTTCCAATTCCTATTCAAAGTAGAATCATATCACCACAAAAACCATACCTTATCCTTAATGAGAGAGATGAACTCTACCAGTACCAAGAAGCCCTATGTGAGGAAGTAGAGAATACTTACTATTGTAAAAACCACCTCCAAAGAGAAGAAGATTGTGTTGTCAACATCATCATCAGAAATGAAGCTGCCAATTGTACTACCTTCCCAGTCCACTTGGAGAAATTGATAGCAAACCAGGTCACTCCACAAAACGTTTTGATTACAACTCCTACCAATGCCATTGTCACTGAAAGCTGCTCAGTTGAAACTCATCATGAACTTCAACCCGGAAGTTATTTAATAACAATATCAGAAAGTTGTTATTTCCTCATCAATGAAGAAAAATTCGTCCATGGAAATGAAGAACTTTCTCCAGCCCAAATAATCCAGTTACCAACATTAAATATTTCCAATATGTTGGAAAGGTCGACCAAAATAAAGCTCACAAATATGGACCTCGAAGAAATCAAACATATAACATCAAAAGTAAACAGCCAGCATGAAATAATCCTACAGGATCCCCAAGTTAGCGAATCCATACCTATATGGATAATCATCATGAGTTGCTCAGCTGTCTGCCTCACAATTTTCCTTGGAGTAACATGTTATTATAGGATATGTTACCCATATTCATACTTCACGGCGAAGAAGAAGAAGAGCCTGGAGGACATAGAAATGCATATTCAGCCAAGCCAGCCAAGCCTACCCTAGGCTTCAATCTAAGTTGGGAGGAGTTACATATAACCCCTGCCAAAGCATATCCAGACGCCGCCACTGGAGTCCATGTGCCGGATCACCTTCAATGATAAACACCGGTAGAAGCTGACTAAGGATTCTCCCCGTTATTTATCTTGTATTTTTTATTAATTTGCATTCTGTTCACCTTTTATCTTTCATACCAGAAATTATCTTTGCAACTCTGAATTATTTTCGTGAAATATCATTTTATTAGTTTTCATTGTTTTCACTGAATTTATAAAAGGAACGATTTTCATTTTCAGATAGATAGAAGTCTTTTTCTGTAATACTTACCAGCTTATGCTGAATAAAACCAAGTTCAAAAATTGTTCTTTATTCAGTATTAGAGTAACCCTTTTACTCAAAAAGTCTCAAACGAAACTCTCTCACGGCTCAACAGTGCAATTTCGTATAGAGGTAAGTTGATTTCAATCGGCCTATTTTGATCTCGTTCACCCTGTAGAATTCATGGTACGTACTGGTACTGGTACTGGGACACCATATAAATACTTTATTGAGGTCATCTTTTGTCAGTTTATGGAAAAATATAGACTTTTTGGTATAGATCTAAGGCAGGTGTTGAACACCAGACCACAATGCTGCGATTCCTGGCGTTCTACAGGTGCCTCACGATGCTTTTTTGCATTTTCTAGTACTGGATTCTGAATGCCCATAAAAAATACTTAATTTTTGTCCACTTTTGAACGTTTCTGTAAGACCAATATTAACTGAGATAGGTATTGGGTAAAATATAAACAATGTACAGGGTATAACGATGACCATTTATGAAATATTGTCATCGACGACTGACTTGTTCTGATGCTAACCAATAACTGTCCGCTTTCTGATGACGAATCCGATGAATCGCCATGTTAAGGACCGCATGCCAGCTATTGCAGACGCCACCCCGTAAAACTGTAGCATTCCACTAAATTAATCATTTCTTGATTCACATTTGTGTTATGTAATTTATACTGGTCGTTTTTGAGTAGATGAGTCGCCAAGACAGGTCAGTCATTTATTGTATTCAGTACCGAGAGGTTACTCTTAGAAATAGAAGATATTTAAAAAGTACGCGTATCAATCGTTATATTACTCTTAGCATCAGAAGTGAGACGTGACCATAGTGAAAATGGGTGAAAGTAATAGTAAAACTGAACAAGTTCTATTACGAAAACCTACTTGAGAACCATATTGAGAAAAAAATCAGTGCGGCTCTCAAAAGAAAATTTGGGCCGAACGTCAGCTCAGATATATCAAGTGAAACACCAATGGATACCCATACACCTGCAGTGAAGAATAATATAGCAAGAGGAGACATCATTCCATTTCTCGACCCTGACAATAAGAGTTGTACAATCGTCGCTTGGTTGCAAAAGATTGATCTTTTAGGAAATACATGGTTGGAACGAATATGAAAAAGCATGTTTCATGCAAGTAAAATTGAAAGGTTCGACACGCGAGTGGTTTAACAGAGTGGACGATTACGATAAAACATGGGAGGAATGGAAAACCTCACTAACCAGGGCGTTTCCCCGTTGTGTGGATTGGAGGAATTAGTAGCTAGGAATAAACGTACTGATGAAACAATGACGCATTACTACCATACAAAGCTAGCACTGCCTTAGCAATGCCGATTAGATGACGCAGTACAACGTGTATCAATCGTTATAATACTCTTAACTGCCATTCATTATCATTATTATCATTATGATTATTATTATATTTTGAACTTCGTCGCCTACAAATAGTTATTTATTATACAAGGGAATAAAGTTGTAGGTTTTAGCTCCCGACGCGCCGCGTAGCGGAGGGAGACAAAAAACCGTGAGCTGAAATCTAATATGTTTCCCGTGTATAAAACACTATTTTTTTCTGTGACAGAAGAAAGGAAGAATCAATATTGAGGAGATATTGCATTATTTTGAAATCTGAAAATTATCGATGTGAAATTTTAAGTTTTTAACAGTAGGGACACCTGCGTTGTAGCCATCTTTATCATTCTTTTGAAGTAATCAAATACCTGATGTCACTTGTGTCAGTCTAATTCTGTGATTTGATTTCAAAAAATTGCGAATTTAGTGGTTGTTTAGTAATATACGTAACCGCCTCGGTAACCGCGAAGTCGAATGGAAGATAAAAGGACTTTCAGTTCTTTCTCGGAGACGGTATCATTGACTCATTTTTCGGAACTATAACACAACAAAAGCCATCTACAGTGTATATATATATGTGATATATCCGGGAAGCGATTTTACTAAATATACTGCACGCTAGCACAAACCACGCCCACCATAATACGTCATATCTCCAAACATTACCGATATACTCGGAGTCAGCACATCGCACTAAATATATACTGTGCTCCAACGCAAGAATACACTTTTTACGAATTTGACACGAATTCGACTGAAGCTCTCTAGTTGTCAATCTCTTGTACGCAGTAAATTCATACACCCAAATGGTCTACTGGTTAGCGCTGTCGACTTTCAGTCTGAAGGTGAATGGTTCGAATCGCTGTGAACTTGAACTTTTTTTTTCACCAATGTTTTTTTACTTCATTCTGGTTTTCCTTTTTCATAAAATATTTGAAGTCAAATAGGTTAGTGCGTTTAGGATAAACAGTCTCATTTTATTCAATTTTGTTGAAGAACTCAACTTTGGAAATATATTATAAATCAATGTGTTTCTACACTCCATTCGGTTTTCCTTCCTCAAAAATATTGCAATCAGGGATAGGTTAGTTCGTTGAGGATAAATGGTCTCTGAGTTTTGCCTAAGTAAAGTACTTTGAAGATGAGATATAACGGTGGGCGTGGTATGTGCTAGCGTACAGTATATTTAGTAAAATCGCATCCGGGAAAAAAGTACTCACTTCTTTCCCACGGGAAAAAAGTAATTTATGAAAAGTGACATTTTATAACCTGCCAACAGAGATGAAATGCCAAACTTTTTTCCCGTCACAGAAAAAATACTAATAAGAGTACTCACTTGCAATCCTCCAAATCTCCTGTTCCTTTGTAATCTACCGCATGGTGGATATTTGAGACACAATCATGTGACAAAATGGCCAACTTAGGATACAGACATCTGAATGTATACCCTGCGGAGTTCTTGGCTTCGAAAGCATTGATTTCCAGAATACCGCACACTGTGTGAATCAAGTCCTCCGGAAATCTGTCTAGTTTGCAAACGTTCCTCAGGTATTCGACAACATTGTGTTGGTTGAAATCCCAAATCGGTTTTGTTTTTCTCACTTCGTTGTGAGCTTCCATACACTCTACCTCTTTCCATCTCATTGGGTCTTTTTCCTTGGCTAATAACATTCTAAAATTAACAAGGCATCATGAGTTTTGGCGATTTTAGCAACTATTATTTCAAATACTGTCTGTTGGTTGATCAAGGAGGTGGAACATTAATTGCTCTAGATTTGTTGGGATTTCCTTTCTTCGTTTCTATGATAGCTGTTTATGATATTGGTGTAAAAAGTGCTATTTATTAAATAAAAGCACTTTCAACACGACCATCATACAATGTTTTTTCTACAAATTACCTTCAAAAAGCCGCCATGATAAATTAGTGAATTGAAGTATAAGTGGATATTAAGGTCTTTCAAACACTTATGATTTTACGAGCACGACCGCCTAGCCTTTTGAAAGTTGGATTTAAACACGCTGATGTGTTCTTTAAATAAGCATAGTACGGTACCAAAAAAAAAATATATCGGGATTTCAAAATTGAAATCCATAAGTTCAGGACATAGCAACCATTGTTTATTGTTTTAATATGTCGAAAAATTGAACTGATTGTAGTAATTTTCCGTCTTTTTACTTGACTTTCAATGGAAAGTGTATAAGAAAATGGTCAATTCACTGAAATAAATATACCAGCGCAGCATGTCGTAGAGATACTTCAGATTTGTTGACGAAAAAGCCCCGACAACAGTATGAAATCGCTAAGAAAAAATGTCTGCAGTGGTGCGAACAGAAATCTAGTGTCGAAAGTAAGTTACTTTTGACACTGGTGTCATGAAATTACATTTTTGATGAAGACATCTGGTGTGAAAAGGTGAACTTTTAATAGTGTTTTTAGAAAAATACTTATATTAAATATCAAGTGCGTCACTTTTTTTGGAAGTGAGTGTATCTATAAAAGAGAACCAGATCGCCAAATTTTCTACGGTGTTCCAAGGAAGCAAGCTAGAGCCAATTTATTTTACATCCCACGGGAGGTAATATTTTTTTCCTCCCGTGGAAGTAAATTGACAGGTTTGTGTCCTTAAATAAGGCAGCAAAAGCTTACTTTCGATGCAGTGAGTAGGTACATAAAATAGTATACAAACCTCGGTAGGAAGTTTCATTCCTGTCTCGAGATCATAGATAACCTCGACGATTTGCATCTCGGTTAACTAACTAATCTCACGCCAGGAATGAATCTCTTCCCACCTCGGTGTGTAATATATACTATTTCACTTTCTTTTGATAGTATATTATGTAACAAGTGTTATAAACGTCCTTTTAGTAACGAGTATTTTGAGCACGAGCGGAGCAGAGCGGAGCGAGTGTCTAGAAGAGTTTATAAACGCGTTACATACTATGCTTTTTCTACGACCTCCGAAAATTACATTAACATACCTGCTATTCCTGCTAACATACAAAATAATTCGAAAGGAATGGGAATTGGGCACATAATACATGCAACTACATGCAACCAGCGAGACCCATATAAGTGATATTGGTTGTAGATGTGTCTAGTCCATTGCTCCTTTGTTTTACGTTTATTATCATGCTTAGCGCAGAATAAATAAATTGTTCTCAGAGATGGATGCTTCATTTTTACACTTCTTGGAGATATGCAAGTACCAGAACATTCTCTTCGATTTCACTCTCGTCTACATTTCGCATATATTTTTAATGAAGAATTCTGATACAAACGAATATTGTTTGAATAATTCTGATACAAAATTTGAAAATAACAGTTGACAGTTAATACAACTGACAGGCCAGACATGTCTCAAACTACTGAAGCTGTGTTTAATGAACTGTGTTGCCATGGTGAATGTGTTTAAGAAATCGTGTTGCCATGGTAACGTGTTTAATATTCTGAATAAATCACATATCGACAATTCGTGATTAATCGATCATTTAGCGTGGTACATATCCGTACTCTAAATGCCATTTTAGTTATGTGAGTAGAAAAAATAAGTTACTTACCTCAACGGTGTGAGACATTCATATTGTAAACAAACTTCAGTTGGATCCTGGACTGTTTGGAATTTGACCGAGGCTTTGGCAAAAACCTCACATTCATAATCCCGATGGCAAAACAATTTTTCGCAATTCTCATTGCACACTGGCCATGAACATTTGGAACAGTGGTAAGTGCAGTCCACATAGGAATAGCAACCCAGACATATGCATGGAGTGTCTAAAATAATTTAGAAAAATGCCATTTCTAGAACCTTTTTTTTTTCAAGTTATTTGAAGAAATTGATCGAAATAAATGACACCTTATCATGGCCACTTTTTCTTATCTACAAGTTGGCTTTTTCAAATTTGAAATCCGACGTTTCGTCTTCCAGAACAATCATCCACTCTTTCATTTTTAAATCCAAACTGGGATTATTTATTTTAAATTTAAATTTTTCACATCTTCAGATATTCAGAAGCTACGCGATATCATACATTTTTATTTTTCGAATGTTCCGTTTAGAAAAATTGACACATTCGTTGAATAATAAAAAAACAAGGAAAACATCAATTTTTGTAAAATAAAACAGTATGATAGAAGAAAAAGTAGCCATGATGAAGTGTCATTCATTTCGATTTAGAAATTGTTTTGAAACAATTGAATGAAAAATAATGTAATATGAAGATACAGGCTGTTATCGAAATGGATATATTATATTCAACTCAGGAATATGTTTTAGTTTAACAAGAATTCTCAAAATATTCGATTTTTTAAATCATGTCATTTAATTAATGAAGTAGTTCTTTCTAATAAACAATGAAGAGCTCAGTATTAGGGGGGGGGCGGAGTGAAGATAGAGGAGAGTAACCGAAATTTCATAAAACCATTTTTTCAGAATATTTGAAGAAATCGATCAAAATAAATGAGACTTTATCATGGTCACTTTTTCTTCCCTACAAGTTGACTTTTTCAAATTTGAAATCCGACGTTTCGTCTTCCAGAACCATTATCAACTTTTCTTTTTAAATACCGACTTGTTTTTTTATATAAAAGTCTTCACACCTCCAGATATTCCAGAAGCTATGAGATATTACACATTTTTATTTTTCGAATGTTTCGTTTACAAACATTGACACATTCGTTGAATATAAAAAAAACACAAAAAATATCAATTTTTGTAAAAATAAACATCCGAAAAAATAAAATAATGTGATAGAATAAAAATTGGCCGTGATGATGTGTCATTCATTTCGATTTATATATTCAAATAACTTGAAAATATATATAATAAAGGTTTTATGAAATTTCTTATTTTTTCATATATTGTATAATATTCGAAACTTTCCAAGTTTCAAAATAGCATTTTGTAAGGCACAAAATTGCACAACTTTGTCCTATTTAACCGACTTTGTAATTCCAGCCACCCTGTACACCTTGAGCTTTGTTGTGTTTAAATTCAATTTATTTATTTCGATAACACCGTTTATTTCTTATTTTTGATCATAGTTGTTGTAGACTGTTGGGTTATTGTTAAGGTTAGCGTACTAATTTTTTTCGTTACACCCTGTGTCGTGAACAATGAGATTTTTTATTTTTACCTGATTTTGGTCCATAAATAAACGGTTTTTCGGTGAAAATTATATCACCTGCCTTCAGGTTTTCTTTTGCAACGGCATATCTGCCGAATTTTTCATTTCTTTCGATAGTGAACAAATCCTAAAACAGAATATCTAGGCTCTTCTTCAGTAGAATACATTCAACATATCATTATTTTTCACAACTTACGATCATAAATTCATATTGATCAATATTTTCATCGATAAATAACAATAATAACAATAATTTTGCACTGGTGCAATTATCGATAATTAATAATTGCAATTAATAATGAGTTCTTCATTTTGAGCATTCATAAGCATATTCAGAAAGTAGAACAAGCAATTTATTGACCTTCATGAACTTTGATCAGGAAATTACCGAAGATTGTGAACCAGAAATATTAGATCATTTCCACATCCGTCAAATATTTCGTGGATAATTGAATTAAGAGGAAATTTCGAATGACAGTGTCCTCCAGCTTTTGACCCTCACATTTTAAAAATATTTACAATCCTATAGAGAATTGCACGACGACAGGGCAGCTCCGAATATACTTTTTTTAAATGGTGCACCCTGTATATTTTTCTCGTTGATAATTCGGCGTTGTCAGAGGATGTTCCTCTACTATTGCTAGGTTCAAGGATCCATTACATTCAAATGAATTTTTCATGTGAATATTATCACCAAGGTTCCATATACTTATTCAAATATATTCATACAAATAACGATCTATTTTGATGGTCAAATTTCCAAAAGTTCAATGAACATTTTCTCGAATCTCTCAAATGTTACAATCAGTAGATGATATCAAGAAATAAACGCAACAGTTTTTTTTTTCAATTTCTCTACAGGAAAGATAAACCATTGAAAAATAAATAATATTTGAGTTGTCAAGTCTGCCCTGCCTTCGTGAAACCACCTGTATAAACAAACATTCGTGGGAAATATGTGGCTCAGAAAGCTGTAGAACTATTACGCACTAAATGAACACACTGTATATTTATCGATTAAACAATGGGACATATCTGAAGTATTTCATGGAGATTACTAAACAACTACAACATTTTGCATAATATCTTGATTCTGATAAATAAAACACTACAATGGAACTCAAGAGCTCTTACAGATTATTAAAAAGATATAATAATGCTTTGAATAATTCTCATGAAATAGATGTATATTAGTCAATAAAATGAAAAAATCGATGATGATGGTATATTTACCTGTTCGTTCATTGTTAGCACTAAAGAAAAGGTCTTCCTTCTAGAAAAAGTATCTATTGATAAATCCCGACCTACATATAGATCAACTTATCCATGTTGGCTACTTTCCAACATAATTTATATTTAGACGACTTCATTTATATTAGAGTTTATACTAATATACTAGTTGTTTTTATGCAATTAAGTCTAGCAGTCTTTTTGACGTATACATCTACACTGATAATACTAAAAAAATATACTTGTTGGATTGATATCTAATTATATAAAAAAACACTTCAACCATGGAAATCCTTCCTGACTAATCCTGACATCTCGGTGTGGAATATCCATCATCAGTTTTCTGAGCACCTCGAGCTTTGACCGTTTTATATTCGAATTGTGGAATATTTTTCTTTGAATGGTTATGAGTCAAATAAAAAACAAGTTGCACCTATTATTGAAAATTTAATTTGAATCATTCAAATTTGAACAATTATTTGGTTTCATTTCAACTACAAAATACGGATACATTATTACTCTGATTATGTTTCTGATGGAACGTACTCAGATCTTCTTGAATTCAATTCAATGAGATTGTTAGCTCAGATTTTTTCATATAATTTTCGTTTTCTCCTAAAATAATTTCATTTGCCCTAACAATAAGTAGACTGAAAATATCACAAATTTGTTTTCATTTTTTTGGTTATATTATATTAAAATTCCACAATATAAAAACATCCAAAACCTACAAAATTTAAATGCAATGGGGAAGACCACTGAGGGAAAAAATCCGTGCAAACCTCTTTCAATCGACGAATCATGATTTACATTTTATGTACAATCAATATTATGAGTAGAAGTTGAAGGGAATCGAATCTATATCGTTTTGAAATCAGCATATTTCATTCGATATTTCAAACAGCCAAATTTGATGGTGGAGTCGTGACGTATTAGTCCCGAACTGTAGCTATCTCTCTCTGATACCTCGTCATTCTGCAGTGTTGCAGTGTAATTGGTCAGTTCAAGGACAATAGGCGTGTTGGGACTAAGACGTCGCACCAGTCACACCAATGAATTGATGAAATTTCAAATGGCGCAGGAATTGTGTGTTTTGAAATGGACATTTATACTAATTTATTTTTTTCATCGTCTTAGCATGAATGAAAAAATTCAAAATTAATTCACTGGTAGTTTTTCAGTATAGAGTTCACGATAATGTCGTTTTAAAAAATCAGTGGTCTTCCCCATTCTCTACCTACTAGCTTCCAATCATTTTGTACTACTCCTTGGAAGATATTTTTTCTATGATTTCTTCATAACCTTGAACTGATTTCGCCATATAGAATTATTCAATTTTTCTCCTGCAACATACATCAAAACCACAAAACCGAAAAGAGAGGCAAAAAACACAATTCTCATTGGTAAGTTGAGTACCTCCAATACAGGGTAAACCCAAAATCCGGTATAGGAATGTATGACGTTCAACCATATCAGATACGCCAACATAACAAATGCCAATATGCCTAAACCCTGCCTTCTAGACGGATATTTCCTAAAAGAAGTAAACATTTCTATCAAAATGAAGATCATAATATTCGTGTGCATCAAGTGGTTCAGCCACTCTGGGAAATATGGAGCTATGGCTTTGGGCAGTATCAATTCTCTATCAACAAAGTAGATGCCCCAGAAAGTCAATCCCACGAACATTGCCAATGGAAAGGCAAGGCTCGCAAGTAGCTGTAACGAAAAAAACATGATTTGAAATGCAAACACAGAGACATGGTATACAGGGTGGGGCATTAGTGCGTCGGAGCTCGATTGCTCGAGTTCTATGATAGCTAGAAACCTGATTCAAAAACGATTGTGAATGAGATAACAAGGTCCATAACTAGAAATTATTGCCGCATATACAGGGCGCACCGAAAATAATCTAGAGGGTCGGGATCAATTTTTTCAATTGGAATGCCCAGTATATTTGCATATTTTTTGAAGCATCTCTGTGATCTTCATCCACTCCTATAATATCGTTGACTATATCTCTTTCGTATCAAAGTTATGTATTTTTTGGTCGAAATAATGTCATCTGCAGATGCCTACCGAAAATATCACTGTTGTTACAATTATGAACTTTAAGAAAAAATAATCTCAATATCATTTATTGAAAAGATGAGTGACATTTATGAAAATGTTTCAGGCTCTAAAATGATACAGGGTGGCTGAAAATGATTTTTCAATTCGGAACTTTCCGAAGTGATTTTTCTCGAGTTTTTCAAATGGAACACCTCATATATTATTTGACCATTTGATGTAAAATCGAAACACGAACATATTTATTCGAACATCCATATCGATATTCGCAACCATTTTTGAATATTTGAACTTTGAAAATTTCAGGTTGGCCATTTTCATCGATACACATTCTAATATGTTATTGAAACATCAAAAGTTCAATCAACAATTTAGTAAACCAATTTTTTATTGAAAGAATCGATGTCAGAACCGAAGCAGACATGAATAGGTCATAATTATGCTGAATATTTACGAAGTAGAGACGGAAAAAATTTCATTTCTCAATTATTCTGGTTTTGCTTTCAATGTGCCATGAATTTATGGGATACTTGAGAAATGCAAATTTTGTCTCTTTTTACTTTGTGAATAACTAGCATATAAACTTTTTCTGTTTGCTTCGATTCTGGTATCGATTGTTTCTTTGAAAAAATTGGTTCACTAAATTAATAATTGGACTTTTGATGTTTTAATGACAGATAAAAATCTGAATCGATCAAAGTCGCCAACCTATAATTTTCAAAATTCATTAATTCAAAAATGGTTATGAATATCGATATGGATGTTCATATAAATATGTTAGTCGATTTTACATCAAATGGTCAAAAAATATATGGGGTGTTCCGAATTGAAAAATCATTTTCAGCCACCCTGTATCATTTGAGGGCCTGAAACATTTTCATAAATGTCACTCATCTTTTCGATAAATGATATCGAGATTATTTTTTCTCAAATTTTATAATTGTGACAACAGTGATATTTTCGGTAGGCATCTGCAGATGACATTATTTCGGCAAAAAAATTCATAACATTGATATGAACAAGATATAGGCAACGATATCATAGGAGTGGATGAAAGTCACAGGGATGCTTGAAAAAATATGCAAATATACAGGGCATTCCTTTAAAAAAAAATGATCCCGACCCTCTAGATTATTTTTGGTGCGCCCTGTATATGCGGCAATAATTTCTAGTTATGGACCTTGTTGTCTCATTCACATTCGTTCTTGAATCAGATTCCTAGCTATCATAGATGTCGAGCAATCGAGCTCCGACGCACTAATGCCCCACCCTGTATATAGTCCAAAAAATAGATATAAGAAACATGAAAAAATGAAACACAGTGTGACCCACTTCTAATGGAAACACCCCTGTATCTCACGTAATCGTTGGGTAAGGATCCTGAAATTTGCTGGAGCGAAAGATATAGAGTAATACAGGGTGATTCACATAAGAACCGACATAGAGAAGGGGCATGTAGGAGGTCCCAAAATATGGCAATTTGACGCAACTTACCTCTATACCAAGTTGTTTCCCTAAGGAGTTATAGGCTTTGAAAGTGAAGTTATAAATTTTGAAAAAAATCAATATCTCCGTTATTCTTGAACTTAAAGCAACCAAAGTTGGTACACTTTGTGGATGTATTTAGGGCGTTACTTGACAGTAACAAGAGTTTAATTGAAATTTGTAAAGGGGGTATACCGGGTGGCGCACCATTAATATTCAACATAATTTGTTAACCCCTGATGGATTTCAAAAATCTTTGCTTCGTTTTGTGGGCAATTCAATTCTAAAACTTTTCTTAATTCAGTAATTTTTCGAAAAACCTCATCATTTTATCAAAAACTCGAATAACTGAAAACGCGCGCTCTAGGTGTGTTATTTAAAATCATCGAAAATTCAAAAGTTGGCTATGAAAATAAACTTACAACAAGAAAGTAGGTCATTAATTGTGATCAGTAGAAATGGGCTGGCAAATTATTATTTAGATATGTAACAAAATACGTGAAGGACAGATACTGAAATGTGAAAAACTGGGATTAACAACTAACCAAAATAAACACAAAAAACTCAAACAACAACCAGAACAAACAATTGTTTATCGATAAAATACTAAATTGAACAACTTACTTGCTTCATTGTCAAGTTTGACGTTTATTTTCATAGCCAACTTTTGAATTTTCGATGATTTTAAATAACACACCTACAGCACGCGTTTTCAGTTATTCGAGTTTTTGATGAAAATGATGAGGTTTTTCGATAAATTACTAGACTAAGAAAAGTTTTAGAATTGAATTGCCCACAAAACAAAGCAAAGATTTTTAAAATCCATCAAGGATTAACAAAATTCTTAATGGTGCGCCACCCGGTATACCCCCTTTACAAATTTCAATTAAACTCTAGTTACTGTCAAGTAACGCCCTAAATACATCCACAAAGTGTACCAACTTTGGTTGCTTCAAGTTCAAGAATAACGGAGATATTGATTTTTTTCTAAATTTATAACTTCACTTTCAAAGCCTATAACTCCTTAGGGAAGCAACTTGGTATAGAGGTAAGTTGCGTCAAATTGCCATATTTTGGGACCTCCTACATGCCCCTGCTCTATGTCGGTTCTTATGTGAATCACCCTGTATACACTGCTAGCCAACAGCCATAGAACTACCCCAATTTCGGGAAAATGATATTAGGAGGCAAAATAGGTCGAAAATCACTTCAGATTCGGAATCAGGACGCCCAATTCACTAACTTTTCATATATTCCCTGGAAAATTTTCAGTTCTGAAAAATTAAATCTTGTCGCACTTTTTACGGAAGCACCCCTGTATCTTACGTAATTGACTTCATCTTTGGACTTTCTCTTCCTCCTGCAAATTTCAGAAACCCTACCTCAATAATTACGTGAGATACGGGGGTGCTTCCATGAGAAGTGAGACAAAATTTAATTATTCTGAACTGAAAATTTTCTAGGAAAAATATGCATAGTTAGTGAATTGGGCGTCCTGATTCCGGACCCGAGGTGATTTTCAATCTATTTTGACTCCTAATATAATTTTCCAAAAATTGGGGTGGTTCCATGTCTGTTGGCCAGCAGTGTACAGTGTGGTCATTTAAGTGTGCAACATATGGGAATCTTAATGAATTGCACAATCAAAATACAGATAGTACCAAAAGTTGGTGCATGTTCAGTGATCATTTTAGGTGCACTTAAAATGGTTGCAAGTCAAACAGCATACGGGGCAGGTCAAAGAATATGAAAATTGTTCAAGAGTAAAGTACCCTTATTTCAGAAATTTCAGCAAAATGTCAATGAGGAAAGTTGCTTGCAATTGAGAGTTATGCCAGAGTACCAAAACATGGCCTCCTAAGACATATTTGAGTTTGATCATACCTTTGTTCAAATTCGAACATATTTGTGCAATCAACTTAGATTTTAATTTTTTTAGGGAATCACAAACTTTATGTTTGTTGCAACGATACTTAGCTTGACTTTAAAATTTCCTACAAGGTAAAACGTCGATAATGATAATCTGCAAATTCGAAAACTGTCATTCAATGTAAACATTTTGTATTTGGGATGTTTATGTAAAAACTGTACAAATCAATCGATAACCATGATATCATTTTAAATAATCACGAATACCCAAGGAACAAAACAAATGAGCGTTGAGAGTAAACATTAAGACAGTTTGGTGATGTTTAACCTTGTTAAAAATATCGTTCGCGAAATTTTAAAGTTGAGCTGAATATCGTTGCAACAAACATGAAGTATGTGATTCCTTAAAAAAGTTGAAATCCAAGTTGATTGCACAAATATTCTTGAATTTGAACAAAGGTATTCTCAACTGATGTTGTTATGATTAACTCATGGAAGTGTTTAGGGTGAATATGAAAAAAATTACAAATTGAGAAATTATTAACGGAAAGAATTGAAAAACTTAAAAATGTCTTAGGAGAACATGCTTTGGAATTTAGGTATAACTTTCAATTGTTAACAACTTCTCGCAATAACATTTGACTGAATTTTTTGACCTACCCTGTATGCTGTTTGACTTGCAACCATTCTAAGTGCACCTAAAATGATTACCGAACATGCACCAACTTTCGACACTATCTGTATTTTGGTTGTGCAATTCATTAAAAAGATTCACATATTATGTTGCACACTCAAATGACCACACTGTATATCACTGAAGATGGCCCCACTTGGTCATAGAGTGCATTTTTGGTATACCTCTCGCTCCAATCTGGAATATCTCTCATCCAACGATTACGTAAGATACAGGGGTGTTTCCATTAGAAGTGGGTCACACTGTATACAAGGTGTATCTAAATAACACCGAAAAAATTCAAGGGGCGATTCTTTGTGATATTTTAGGAGATAAATTTAATATTAACATCGGTCCTAACTTGCTTCCTTTTCGAAATACAGGATATTAATATTTCCTTTTTATAATGTTTTGTCAAAGAATGCAGCAGAGCTTACACAGAATAATCAAACTCAATCCAGTTTGAGCTTATTATCGTCTCCTACAATGACAATAAAAGGATGAAGAATATTTTTGTGGTTGAAAAAATTTTAGAAATGAACATCAACAAACTTAACAGTATTTTGAGAAAATATATTTTTTCTCATAGCATCTGTTGCACAGCTAATCAAAGTCTCTGAAAACAACAGAATTAATAAAGTGATAATAGAGGTGAAATTATGGATTTCACAATGTTTTATGAATCATTCAATCTTAAACAAAAAACTTATGGCTTCAAGAATACAAAGCAATTTGAAGAATTAGTGCTGAGAGCCTAGATACCTCACTAGACACATACCATATTTCACATCTTGTAATTTCTTGAACAAAAAGATAATCTTACCTTATCTTGGACTCTTCTGATGATTGGACTTCTCTTTGGTAAATTTTCATTGGTGCCAATAAAATCATTCAAAAGGCATATGGTAAAAAACAGTCCTTGTAGAATCTGGAAAAAATAACATGTCTTCTAAAATTATTTCTTTGATCATATAGGTAAAGGAATTACGAGGGATTAGATCTCGGATAAGATTAAACGCTCACATCAAGGGGGTTACCACTAAGGTAATGCGTGGAACAGGTCAAGAAATACCATTTCTGAAATACCAGGAGATGTCTTGAAATCCTAAAATGCTTTGAATTTCCTTGAAATGCCATGAAATACCTTGAAATGCCATGAAATACCTTGAAATGCCATGAAATGCCTCAAAATGCTATGAAATATTTTGAAATGACAATAAATAAAATGAAATGCTATTTCTGAAATAGCATGAAATACTTTGAAATTCTGAATTGACCGTTACTTGATGGAAATCCATGGCAAATGTAAAAACTTCACAAACGATAAGATTTCCACAAAACACACATAAAGTGCCACCAGATAAAAAAATATTCTCATATCTATATCTGTTGAAATAGGGTGTTTTTGAATTTTTGAGCTGTCAGAACTTTGTTATTATATGGACATTGCATCTGTGCAGCCTGCCTTTGGACTTTAAAGATAGCCTGAGAGACAGATTGCATTTGTTGCTGGATGATTTTGCGTCATGTTTCTTACACCAGTAAAGTCCAGGGTAAAATACACTGAATGATATAATGATGTTGTTTTGGTTCAGAGTATTTGAGTTTGGAAACTGTGATTTAATGTATTCAGTACATTGGGAACAAATCAAAGTTCAGGATTGAGTTGACCCTGAGATTTAATCAAATTAAAGTCATGATAAGATCTGAGAAATCAAATTATTTGGAATAGGAATACTAAACAATATTTTCATTATCTAAATTATATTCAATGAGTTCATGACCTCCATTTGAAAAAGAAGATTATCTGGGTATTTGTTTCATTATAGGCATGTTGACATCATATAAGGGATACCTGAGACCTATAATCAGACGTTTTAGTGATATCTGCTGGAGTTTCTGCTATGATTTCTGATTTGGATTAATGAGCAGAATAATATTATAATTCAATGATTTGAATTTTATTGATTCCTGAACAAATCTGATAGTATATACCATCTATGATAAACAACCAATTTAAGGTGCAACCAAATATTTGTCTCCTCTTAGTTATTTTCCTTCATAAGATTTGTTTCTTTATTACCAAAAGTTGGAACTTGATTTTTTCCTTCACAGTCAATAAGCTTTGCATCAATTACATAGTTAATACATTTCTAGATTGATCACATAGATCTAGAATTAATCACCCTTTTTGGTAGGTATGGAACTCGGTATGAAATTATTGAACTTACCGCATCCCAGTATGTTAAAAATTTTAGTTTTCCGCTAAAACCAAAGGACTGGCCCATGCGATGCACATTAGCTGGTATTATAACATAATTCCAATCGTAGTAACAACCATACCAAAAATGAACTGCAGCAATGAAATGAAAAATTTTTCGGGCTGCTGTGCCCATATTTGACTTGACTTAGCTAATTGACCAGTGATCTAAACAAGAGAAAACACACAAACGCTACTTAGCAGTTTACCACTCTAGTTTAATTCAATTTAATAATAATAATGATTTAATTATTAAAACACAGATAAAAATATTTATACACATACACCACCTATCTATATAACCTACAACTTTTTGAAATGACATAGGACATAAGAAATAAGAAATCTGTGTATCTATTTCCAGCTGTCGGTGAGATAACATATTATCTGTCTACGAGTCCTATTACCAGGATCTTTAACAATTTAGCCACACCAGAATCTTGGCTGCTAAATAGTTATGTACGGGCTATATTCCGAATTCAACTGGTCAGTGTACAGTTCACTGTTGCATTTATATCAACAATACTACTTCCTCTTTGCATACTTCAAAAGTAAAGTACGCACTCTCGTATTACAATACGCCTAGCAATAGACGAATATTAAATATCTGCCACCGATTTTTCAATAGTGTGTTCATTTTTGACAATTTTGACACGGATTCTCTTTATGAAACAGGTTTTGGCCAATGATGACACGCACTTTTCATTATAAAAAACACGTAAAAAAATTTATTTCTGACAGTGACATTATAAGCTTATATCGTCATAGTTACGATATCTATTATGAGGGTCATAACTCCCTTGGGATGTTATAGATGCTATAATTCCCTCTAACTAAAATTAAATAAGAAATGCATAGCAACAACTACCTACGCAGTAACGTAGCAATAAGGAATCTCCAATTCGCGGTAGTCAAGATCATCATCTGACGTTCTGATGACATTGAAACTATACGGAAAAACATGTCTAACTTCCATTCGGGAAGGTATCTAATGAATGAAATCAGTCAGAAATAAAATTATCTATGTATCACGGGAATTAATGAGCCTCAATAACCTCTGGCAATTGCTGTCCCTCGGGCCAGAGGCCCTCGGGACGCAAACTTTGCCATCGGTAATTAAGGCCCTCATAATTCCCTTAATACATAAATAACTATTATCGAGGGGGACAACTTTTTAAGCAAAAATTGCTTCGCCTCCTTTTACCCCCTGCCCTCAGGAGCTACGCCCCTAAAAATCTTAAATGGTAAGGGCGGGTATCGAGAGATAGCTCATTTGAAAGGTATTTTTAATTCCTTTATTGTGGCGTTTGATTTTTTGAAATCGGTCGATTCGTTTTCGAGATAATTAGAAAAATCTTCATTTATCTTAATTTGTTCAGATAGAAAAAAAAACACACGAAAATATAACTTTTTATTTCAATAAGTGTTCAAAATGTTGCCCGTTATTGGCCAAACAATGATATAGGCGATGTTCAAATTCCTGACGGACATTTTCAAAAACATGTTGTGGAAGATCACGGCAGCTTTCGATGATGCGTTGACGAAGTTCATCCAAACTTTCAGGTTGGGGAGTGAACACAATAGATTTCAAATGTCCCCATAGAAAAAAGTCTAATGGCTTCAAGTCAGGTGATCTAGCAGGCCATTCTATAGGCCCTCTTCGCCCTATCCATTTATCTGGAAACTCGTCGTCTAGCCATTGCCGAACCGGAAGAACATAGTGAGGAGGAGCGCCGTCTTGCTGGAAATATATTTCAGCCTCATCAAGTATAGAGTTTCCATTGTCTTCGATTTGGTTTTCAATAGTTTCAGTGATAAGCGGATTGATGGTATTTTCCAACATATCTAAATGAATGCCTCCATTCAAATTCCCATTAACAAACAATGGCCCAATCACTTTGTTTCCTAAAATGCCTGCCCATATACATTGATTTTTTGGGGGTACTGAGTATGCCCTTCTACAAAAGCATGAGGATTTTCATTGCTCCAATACCTGCAGTTATGCTTATTAACAATTCCATTTAGATAAAATGTGCATTCATCACTGAAGCAGATATTCTTCACATGAATGGTATTATCATTAATAGCTGCAGTCATTTGTTCACAAAACTGAACTCTCCCATCGAAATCATCTTCGGTTAACTCTTGCAATATTTTCATTTTGAATGGATGAAATTTATGTAATTCAGTAACTGTGTGTACAGAGCCTTATGAAATACCAATTGCTTCAACAATTTTGCGTAATGAAGTATTAGGATTTATGCCAAAATGACCCAAAACTTCAGTTTGAGCGGCTTCATCCATAACTCTACGATGATTACGTTTTTTATTTGCAACAGAAGATAACTCCCCTGACTTTACATGCATCAGATATGACCCAGATACACAATTTTTTTTTATATATTTAGCAAGATATGAGAGATATTCCAGATTATAAACAACTCAAAAATATGGATGTCAAGGCTTACGAATAAAATATTTTCTTAAATTAGTTGCCTTATACTCGATAAAGTTGATTCAGTTGATTCAAACTATTTCGATATTATATGCATCATGTTTTGTTTCAATATTTCCCAATTTGTTAATAAATGAGATGGGTGACATTTTACTCGGATGGATAAAAAATGAACTTTCGAGATAGAATCATTCATAAAATAAATTGAGGTCACTTTCAATCAAACAGCAAGTTAAAAGAAATTTCTTGGAAAATAGCGATCGATTCCATTTCTCCCGTCATAGATTAATGCTCCCGTGAATTCCAAGATCGTAATTCTGTAACACTCAGTAGGTAATTCATATTTACGGTGATCGTACTAGGACGGCCGCGGGCGTTGCGGGGAGAATCGGGGTATGAAAGCGGCGAATCGCGGTCCTTCGTACCTACTACCTGCATTGGATTATGATTTTACCAATATCTTCCTTATTCATGCTTCGATTTCCAAAATCGAAAAACCATTCGCATTTTGAAACATAGAGACGCATTGACATTATTTGAAGTATTTTTTTGATAAACGTTGTAGTTAGGTATATGAAAAGCAATTTAACGAAAATTTACAAGTTTATTCGAGTTATAGCCGTTTGAAATATGATTTTCTCATATATCGTAATGTAATTGGTGAATTTCAAAATTTTCTATAATTTGTTCTACACGAAATCAAGATCAACAGAGGGTGGAAGTTCTGGAACCCATCAATAATATTTTCCACGAAAAAAATTCCATATTTTTTTTATAAATTACCCCCTGCCCCCCAAACGCACAGGACGATTTTTTGACAAGTGGATCCATGATCTGGAGATGGATGGTAGGTAACAATTCTAGCCATGTCACGGCTTTTTACCTCCGATTTCCCACCAACTTTTGATCTAAGCGACTTAACGATTCGTTTGGCACTCTACTAAAAGTTGTGGGTTGTTGGTTGGTGTTTGGGCTCCTTGGTAGTTTTGGTATTTTATTATCGTATTAAGTAAATATTTATTTTGATTATCTATGAATGTTGGAATTTGATAAACCATACCGTAACAGTTCCCCTAGTTCTAATTCATGGGACCCGTCATTAGTATTTGAAAATTCGTTATATTTCCTAAGTGCCTTCTCCAGAATGTTACTTCATAGTTTATTTATAAATATTTTATTGTGGAACCTAGTTTCATCCTTCAATTATGAAGACAGAGATCCGTTAGTAAAGAATGCCCCTGCCGGTCAGAAAGGATCATATTTTGGTTTTAGTGTTGCCCAACATAGTACTGTAGAATTGGATGGGAATTTAGACAATAGTATCGATAAATATTGGTGAGTTGAACCTTTCATCATCTTTTATGTATGGTTTGATCAAAAATTAGCAGAGCATGTTAAACCATAACATGAGAAATGAATCATGATCTATCAATATAAGCTTTCATCAGGTCAACTGTTCATGGATTAGTCATGTTTAATCACTTGGCTTTTAGAGAAACCCATGTTTGATATAATAATGTTTTAGGTTGCTTGTTGGTGCCCCTTTAGGAAAAAACCTGCAGCCCAATACAAATCATTCTGGGGCATTATTCAAATGTCCATTGTCTAGTGATGCTGAGTGTATACAAGTTAAAACTGATGGAGGTATGTCTTCAAAATTACAATCCCTTACACCTTTTTTTAATTTTGGACTTATAGGCATACATACATACAACATTACTACATCCTACAAGAAATTATAATAATTGTGGGAGAACCTATTTATTCACTATTTATTTTTCAATTTTCATTGTGCTTCTTCTACCTTCTACCATTCCTACCCCAAAAAGAAAATGTAAACTGAAGTAATACCATTTTCCAGAGAGTTTTTCAGTGAATAATTTAGTGTAGGTAAATAGGTACTTGATCTTGTTATTCCATGTACCCAACTTTTATGTGTACATTATTTCAGGGTATCAAATGCAACTGGAAACAACTATATTCACCAAGGTATTTACTTATATACAGGCAATATCTCACTTATTTGACAAGATCATTGAAACATTCAAAAACTGCATTGAATGGCATTGAAGTACCTTCCTAATGACATAAAAAAATCTTTTACATTTGACAATTTTCTGGCAGCTATCCTCCATTTTTTTTTTTTCAAATGAAAATTGTCATTGAAAATTGTGTGTCACCCTATAAGGAATACAAGGATAGCATATACATGATATTTTTATTTTCTTCCATTTTATTTTTTCGACCTTCTTGTTATTATTTCTTCATACCGACTAACCCTTATCCACCTCTAACCTCGTGGTTCTTGCTGGACAATTTAATTTTTTGATTATGTGTACATGCTTATTTGCCATCGAACTTCACTTAAGTCGCTGACCCAACGTGTTACGTTCGCATTTCTCTCTTTCATTTTAGTCCAAAATATTTAGTTGACGAACTAGAGCAATATCTATACCATGGCCGACCCAGGTTCTGAGGGCACGAGCCGTCACTGACAAGCAGTGACGGAAGGCATAACCCCAAATTCTCAAAATGACTTCGAAGGTTTGGTTAAACAAAGACATGAATATGCTTTTCCGTTCACTTCGGATCTTCTGTCCTTTGCTGCCGTGGTGAAGGGTACATCCATATATCTTTCTCTGTCTTCTTTTCATAAAGAAGTGGCGTCTCATCTCACTGGCCAAAAGGGGTCATAGTTTGTAACTTAATTGATAGGATTTCTCGATATACTTAACAAAGGGTATATGTGGAGTCAATTTATTTAATTTTAGGATGCACTAGTTTTTCAATAGAAGAGTCAGGATTTGGTAGCCAGTTCTGCTGAGCGAAATTCAAATGAAT